AATAGAGTTATTAAGAAGTAATGCTAATCCTCAATATTGCAATGATAGCACTTCAGCAATCACAAACTGCTCATTGTTGCCAAGTACTAGTAGCGCTGAGATAACAATGTCTTCACTGCATACTTCCATAACAAGTTCACAGTCTTTGCTGTACACAAGCAGCAGCACTTCAAAGGAATACTTCCATACTACTACTAATTCCATTGAAGGTAATTGATAACAGGATTATGCTATAAACAGACACACACAGCACTAATGATATCATGTGTGTGTATCGCATTGTGTGATTTCACCCACTCACTCACTGTACATATGTAATCTATTATAGGTAAAACTTCATCATCGCTAATTCCTTCTCATAGTACTTCTCCTACAATACAAGCTTCTTCTCCTATAATACAAGCTTTTTCTACAGCAACTACAGTATCTTCTACAGCAAATGCAATATCTCCTACAGGAGCTACAATATCTCCTACAGCTCTAAGCAATGGGGGAACTTCAACTCAATTCTTTTTCATTTTAGGTGTATCAGTTGCTGCACTTCTAATCATCATCATTGTCTTTTTACTTGTCTTAATTTTCCTGTTTGGCTACAAGTGCATTAAGAGATGTCGTAGTGAAAGACTTGCCAATAAGACGATAGTAGACTCTGCTAGAAATACAACTGGACAAAGTATGACATCATTCAACATCATGCGCATGGTTGCTATTCAAATGTGTGATTACAATGTGATTGTAACTATAGTAAAGAAATACTGTAATGGGATATTAAATATCTGCCTCTACTATACTCCATCCTCCTACATGTTTTTCCCATAGAAAAGACATGTATCTATAGCAAATAATTAAGCTCCAGGTGTTGGAATTTTTGCTAATTATGTTAACCCATGCAATTGCAAGGGATTGTTTACCACTTAATTGATAGTGTATAGCTACAAAATAAGCTTAAATAAATGTTATTTTTCCTTTTTAGATCCTCATATATCAACGGGTGTCAATCCTTCATATCATCAACACTCAATCATTACTGCAGCTGGCCCTACATGCAACACAGGGAGAGAGGAAGGGAGTCAAATGAAAGAGGGACAACAGAATTATGAATTGGTTGATAGCAATAAATATGATGACATTCATGTTTATTTTCAGCCTGA